TTTAGAAGGGCCAGAAATGCTGAGCTGTGCAGAAAAACCTGCTCAAGGATGGCTTTTTGAAAATTGCCCTATTTCCAGTGGAACTTTAGCCCTATATTGGGGTTAGGGGTGGTCACCAGGGTAGGGTTAGGGTTAGAAAAACGAGATGTCCTGGTATGATTTTGATGGCAGGGATGCGTTTACAAGGGCCAGAAATGCTGAGCTGTGCAGGAAAAGCTACTCAAGGAAGGCTTTTTGAAAATGCACTATTTCCAGTGGAACTTCAGCCCTATAGTAGGGTTAGGGGTGGGCACCAGGGTAGGGTTAGGGTTAGAATAACGAGATGTCCTGGCATGATTTTGATGGCAGGAATGCGTTTAGAACGGCCAGAAATGTTGAGCTGGGCAGAAAATGCTTCTCACGGAAGCCTTTGTCAAAATTGCCCTCTTTTTAATCTAAATTTCACTCTTTATTAGGGTTTGGGTCAGGCCAGTGGTGGCGAAGCCATGGCCCCTCTGCCGCAGCTGATTTACAGTGCCCAGTCGCCCAGCATCGCTCCAGCAGCCGATCCTCAGAGAGCAGCGCACCAAGGGGCCATGCACATGCTCCGAAAGGAGTGGCGACGGCAGGCAATGATGTCACCTTCCCTGACTCATTCGCCGTGTCTCGTCCAAGCTTTCTAATGGCTCATCACTGCGCTGCCAAGGATATATATATATATTTGCTTTGACCGGCTGCGAGTTATTTATTCTAAACCAAAACCTCAGTTTCCAATTTTTCTTGCAGTGTTGGCACTGCGAAAAATGCGTGGGTTTTGGGTTGCAGTTTGGGCATTGGTCTGTTGAAGGCTGGCCATCACTGGACCAGAGTATTTGTAGCCCCGAAGAGAAGACTGAGGGGGTGGCCTTTTCCGTCCCGCAGTGGGGCCACGAGCAGCTGCCACCATTGCATGGGCCCAGCCTTTGGGCAGAAGCTTCCAGCGGCATTTCCAGAGCACAGCCTGACGTTGCCATAGGGAAAATCTTTTCAAGCAAAGCATCGCCCTTCTGGTGCTGGTGCAGCAGATTCACTTTGTGATGCCAGCATCTCTTGTGTGCGTGTGTTGGGGTGCGGTGGGCGTTCTTGCGGCTGGGAGGACGTGCTCGTGTTGGAATAAGGACCGCGGTGCAGCTTGGTGGGGATCGTGGGAAATGCTCCCGCCGCGGCGTGTGGGCGCTGGGAACGCATGGCGCATTTCTGGCACGGGCGGGGAGGAGGCCTGCCTTCGGGCTCCCTGGGGGGGGGGGCCGCAGACAGGCGGGGGGGAGGGATGGGCATGCAGGCTTCTGGAGGGGGGGGCCGAGTGGGTGGAGGAGCGGAGAGTGGGGCCACGCGCAGCGGTGGGGGAAGGTTCCCGCATCGGACCCACGAGACCAGAAGGCGCGAGGGAGGGATAATGGGGAGCCGGAGCGGCTTGGGTGCCTCACACCAGATGGAACAAGAGGGGGCACAGGGGGGCACAGATGGACTCGGAGGGTCCCTCTCTGGACGGGCGCTTCTCGAAGCACCCTGGGCCAGAGCAAAAACACGGTGGGGGGTCGGAGGAGCGGCGGTGAAGGGGGGGTCCAGGGGCGGCAAAAGACGAGCCTGTGGCCCTGGCCCTGGCCAGGTGGCGGGGAGATGGGGGCACGGCCTGCCCTACAACGGGAGGGGGTCCTCTGTGGGATTGATGCGGATGTGTTTGTGGCCCCTGCACCAAGTCAAGCCTTGGCAGACCCTCCATGAAGGAGGAGGAGGGGCAGAAAACTCGGCTCAGCACCAGCCTGGAGCGTTGGCGGTCCCCTTGCATGGTGCTGCTTTTGAAGTCAGGGGGGCTTCTTCACCCCCCCCCACACACAATTCCTCTAATGGAGCGCAGCCAGAGGTTCTCCTACGCTGGCCTCGCCAACGTAAGCCAGGTGGCCGCTCGGAGCACTCCAAGCCGCATTCTCGCCCAGCCTTTGGAGGCCGTTTCCCTAGGCGGCTCCCCACCCAGAGGAGGCTGCTCCCTCAGGAGGACAAAGCTCACTCCTGCCCAGCTTAAACACTCAGCCAGCCCCGGGCCAGCCCCACAGGGCTCATAAGCTCCGGGCTGGTGCTCCCGGCACTCCTCCCCCTCCGGGCTGACTGTTCTCCTGCCAGGGATGCACGCCAGGATCCCCTGGCAATCCCCCGCCTCTGCCAGGGGGCAGCGAGGACAGGCATGCGGCGGGCGCACCGTCCCACGGCCTCGCAGCTTCCCTGGGCAAACAGGGAAGATGAGCAGCACGGAGGTTGCCCAAAGGGGGCTCCTCCAAGGGGCGCAAATGAAGCCGAATGGATTGAGGGCTGAGAGGAAGGGCTTCCCGGATGGACGCACAGTGTATGGATACAGGCGCATTGAGGGATCAAGGGTGGCGGCCTCTGCTCCGGATCAGGGCCCCATCACAGCAGGCTGAAGCTCCTCCAGCAGCCCCATCATGGCAGAGCTTTGCTCATTTCATCCCAGCACTTCCACTCGGACGCACATGTATCAACTCCAGGCACTTCTCAGGCGCACGGGCAGGAGGCCAAGGGCCAGGGACCCACGTGAGGCCCCGCGGGCGCTTCGTGTCAGGGCCCCGGAGCCGCCCTCTCTGGCCCGCAACTGTCTTTCTCCTCTCTGCGCCGTGCTGAGTGGGGGCGGAGGGTCTCACCTTCCCTCCCGGAGGACCAAAAGTCCAGCCTGTGCCCAGAGGGCCCGCTGCACCAGGTCAGGCCCTGCCCAGGGGACACAAGAGGTTGTCCCACTGGGAACACGAGGAAATGCATCCTGCCAAGTGAAGGAAGTGCCCACAAGAGCCCCTGTGGACAGCTAGCAGCTGAGAAGACTTCTCTGTGCAGTGGCTTTTGGGCCATGCCCAGCGGGCTGCAGGGTGTCGAGCCCACCGCCTCAAAATAGCGTTCCGAGTAAGAATGCGTGAGGGGGGGCAGCACAAAGCCGCAGGTCCCTGGCGCTCGCTGAAGCGTCGCTAGAGCAGGCCCTTCCGGGAGGGAAATTCCCCGCCGGGGCTCCTCCCCGCTTTGTGCAGAGCGATTCCTGCAAGGGGCAGAGGGAGCTGGACGCAGAGCGCCTGGCACGCGCCCATGGCTGCCCGGGCACACAGCCAAGTCCTGGGAGAGCAGGCAAGAGCCTTGTGGCCCCCGAAGGGGGGACCCCCTTCCCTGCATTCATCAGTGCCCAGGGCCACCACTAGACCTCCGGGCAGCCCCCGGCAAGCTCGCCCCCACCCCGGCATCGCCCCACGCCCCACACCTCTTGCCCTTCCCCGTCCATGGCGCCCACGCCTCCCTTCCGCCGAGCCCCCGCCCCCGGACCTTCACGCACCAAAGGAGGCGGCCAGCACAGCACGCCCTCGGAGAGCCGGCTGCTCGGGGGGACGGGCGCCCCGCGGGAGGGCAGCTGGCAGCGCCGGCGGCAGCAGCGGGCCCATCCGGTCCCGTCTCGTCGGGGCCGGGGCCAGGGCCAGGGCAAGCACGGTCGCCGCGCCCGCCTCCGCTGCCCGAGGACGGGCTTCCCCCGCCGCATGGGCGGGCTGGCCCGACCCGCGGAGCCGCTGCCGGACCGCCGCGCCTGCCGGACCCTCCCCGTGCGGGGCCAAGCGCAGGCTGCGCCGAGCCCGAGGGCCCGGGCCCCTCCTCTGCCCGGCTCGAGCGGCCCCGCTCCCCGCAGCGCACCCGCTGCTGCCCCGGGCGAGGGGAGGCGGCGCGCACCGCGAGGCGCTGCTCGGGCGACGCGGCTGCGCCCGCCACGGGACCAGCTGCCTGCGGGGCGATGCGCCGGGACCGTCCCGGGCACGGCTGACCAGCAGCGCCCCGGCCCCCGCCCCGGCCTCTGCCGGGGCTTCCAGGCCACGCGGCCACGACGCGGGCTCGACGACGAGCTCCTGCCTGCGGGCGGTCAGACCCCGCACAGGTGCCCGCACCGGCGCTCCCAGCCCAGGGGTTCCCGAGGCGCGGCGCGGGCCCTGCGAGCCGAGAGGGCGCTCGTGTCGGTCGCCCGGCAGCATCGCTGGGAGCCCAGGAATAAAAGGAAGCCGCCCCCTCGGGAAGCCAGCGGGAGCCCCCACGCACGGCCCCCTCTGCACGCACACACGCGGCGGCCCTTCCCCTGGGCACCCGCGGCCCGAGCCACACGGGCAGACACCACCCAACCACAACGCGGCTGGAACAAGAAGCACGGTGTGAGGCTCTCGGCGCCACACGGAAAGCGGCCTTTGAGACTTGCACGCACGCGCACACTGCAACTGCAGGCCTGCACACACACAAGCCCTAGACCGCACGCACATACGCAGGATTAGACCCATATACCCCGGACCAAAGCATGTGCGAACACGCTCAGTCCCAGGCTATGCACAAATGCCCAGTGGAGGCGCCCACCACAGACGGTGGACACGCACCGCTGGCTGGGTGCGCATGCACGCACCCTGCTTCAAGGCTCCAAGAGGGACCGGGCGCTGGTGCTGGAGCCCAGGCAGCCGGCTGTGCCAGGCGCCCCAGGCGGTGCCCGTGGGCCCCTCCCTCGCGGCACCTGCGGCAAGCCCAGGTGGGGCCGGGAAGACCTGCCGCCAGCAGCGGGCCGGTGCCCGTCCGGATGCTGGTCCTCTGGTCCAGGCAGAACTGGAATGTGCGGCTCTTCTGCGGTGGTTTGTTGCTAAAGCCCTGCCCACTCCCCCCCCCCCCATTGCTCGACTCTTGCTTCCTGAACCTGCTGCTCCTGAGAGTCCCTGCGGGGCCTGCTGGCTGGGCTCTAAGCGGGAGGCCCGGAGCCGGCCCGCGGACTCACGCCGGCCTCATCATGCAGCCCGGGGCCCGGCTCCTCCCTGTGGGGCTGCTTGCTCTCTGGGCTCAGCGGACACCCCTCTCCGCTCAGGATCACCCAGGCAAGAGCACCGTTCCCCTCGTCCACCTGGTGAGGCCAACCCTGCTGCTGCAGGTCTCCCTCTTGGCTGGCTGTCCAGCGTGGGAGAGCCGCCACCTCCGGGGGTCACGGGTCACATTGCCGTGCAGGACCCTCATGCAGCTGGAGCCCGGCCTCCTGGAACCTGAGCCCCTTGTTCCGTGTCCCGCACTCTGGGCGGATCGAGAGGCGAGCCGGGCCTCCTCCTCTGCGGCAGCCTTTCCAACCTTCGTGGAGCGCTGGTCCAGTACAGCCTCTGCTGTCCTTCAGGGGGCTGGTTGGGGCCACGCCTTTCGCCATCTTCCTTCAGGCACATTGGAGAGCAGCGCCCATTGCAAAATCTCGCTCGCTCGAGAGCCTGCTCTGTGCTCATCGCTCGCACCTGCTTCCTGGAGCGGCTGCTGTGGACATCCCTCGGTTGCATCAGGCCCCGCAGCCAAGGAGAGGCTGCCAGGAGACCAGACCCCAGGGCTGCCTCGCCATGCGGACCAGCGACCTGCTGCTGCTGCTGCTGCTGCTGGGGCTCCTGGCTCTCGGGGCACCTGCCCCTGCTCAGGGCCTTCCAGGTAAGAGTCCTGCTCTCCCCTCCTTCTCCCGGGGGGCACATCTCCTTCCAACCCCCCTGGGAACAGTTCCGCACTTTGCTGGTGCGACCGCCTTGGCCCCCCACGTTTCCCTGGAAGGCTCCTCTGCTGCACTTCGCACATGGCCAGCCGCTGGTAGCCAGGGGTAGACTGCGTCAGAACATGGGGGCTTTCTGCAGCACTGTCCTCTGTCCACTGCCGGGCCCCATCAACGAGCTGGGTCAGTCCTCTAAAAGGCCACCCATCTTCCCACCAGGGCCCCCTGGGCTCTGCATGGCCCCTCGGTGCCGGGGGCCACCCTGCGCCCTCCCCCAACCGGCGCCAACGCTCGGCACCGATTTCTGCTACGGCAGGACTGGTTCTGTGCCCCCTTCCCTGTGTTCCCCCCCCGCACTCCCGTCCCCTCCGTGGCTCAGTGCCTTTCCTACAAGCAGAAGCTCCCACAGTGAGTGGGCCAGGCGCTTCTCTGTGCCCACCCTGGGGAAGTTAAGGGGTGGCGGAGAGCATGGGGATCGCCCAGCCCCGCCCAGGCCCAGGGCACGACTGCCTGCGGAGCTCGGCCACAGCGGGAACCCTCAGCCTGCCGGGCAAAGAAAGGGAAGAGGCTGGTCCCTTCCAGCGGTGCCGCCATCTTTGACTCAGCTCCCTGTTCTCTAGACGTTTGCCGCCTCCCGCGGGATCCTGGACCGTGCAAGGCCTTCCGGACCCGGACCTTCTATAACGTGACCTCCAAGGCATGCGAGCGGTTCCAGTATGGAGGGTGCGGGGGGAATAAGAACAATTTTGTCAACCCGGAGCTCTGCCTGCGCACCTGCCAAAGGCCTGGAGGAGGTGAGCTGGCAGCTCCCTGTGGAGCGAGGGGGGAGGGAGGGCCCTGCCTGCCCGCCTGCCGAGTCCAGTCCGACGGGTCGGTCCGGTCCGGTCCCTGCTGGGGGGAGGCGGAGCGAGCGCTCAGGCTTGTGCTCAGCTCCGTGCTCAGTGTCCGTCCGTCCGTCCAGCCGGCCAGGCCGCCCTGCTGCTGCCGCCCCTTCGGCACCCTGAAGGGCTGAGGTGTGCCTGGGGGGCACAGATCTGCCCCCTCCCCTCCCCTGACAGGCCTCCCTGCCAAAACACCTGCAGGAAAAGCTCGGCTGTGCCGTGGGGCAGCGGAATAGGCCCGGGGACGCAGCTGGCCTGGCCCGCCCGAGCCGCGGCCCCTTCCCTTCTGCGGAGACGGCCAGGCTGGGCCCCAGAAACCGTCCGGACCCCAGGACGGCCACGGTGCCTCTCGCTCGAAGCGCCCACCCCGAGGCGGCAGAGAAGGCTTTTCCCGGCCTTTGCCGGAGGGGGGCCGGGCCTCCCCTTGCGCTGCGCTGCTGGGCTTCGGGGGAGCAGCCCGGCCCCACAGCCCGCCCCGGCCGGGGACCCCGACCCACGCAGGCTCCCCTCACGGGTGGGACCCCTCCCCGGTGCAGCCTCGGACAAGACTTGGGGGGGCATTCAGGGCCTGCACAGCAGCAGTTGCTGGACTGAGGAGGGGTCCCACGAAGAAGCCCCCTTGCCCCGCCCGCTGCCTCGGCCGTGCGGAGGAAAACGGAGGCCGGCCCGGTCCCTGCAGAGGGCAGACTGCCACGCGTGCGCAGCCGTGGCCTGTTGCTCTGGGGCTGGGCTGGGAGAGGCTTGGATCGGGGCACGGGGTGAGTCGTGGCCAGCCCGGGCCTCCCCCGGGCTGCCACAGAGGGGGGCGAATGCGGCACCCAGAGGCTTCTAGGGGGGCGTACGACCAGCCTCCCCGGCACGCCCGGCGGTCGCCTTCCTGCCAGACCCGGCTGACTAAGAAGAAGCCCTGCCTGCCAGCCCTCTGCTTGCGCACAGAGAAGCCCGGGTCGTGCCCCGTGTTCCCGGCGTACGTGAGGGAGCCTTGCGAGAAGCTCTGCAAACACGACCAGGACTGCCTGGGGGCCCTCAAGTGCTGCTCCATGATGTGCTCCATGGTCTGCCTGCGCCCCTTCCCAGGTGAGCGGGGCGCGTGCACCTGGTTCTGGCGAAGGGCCGGGGGGCGAGGGGTGCAGGGCTGTGCCGTCCGGAGGGGGGCCTCCTGCTCCTGAATCCGCATGGGGTGGGGGTCCTCTCCATCCATCGCTGGGGAGGCGCCTGAGGGTGCCCACAGGAGCGCTCCTCTTTGGGGCGGTCAGTGTGGCCAGCAGCTCCCAGTGGCCCAAGAAGCCAGCGGGCCGGCAGGCGGCGACACGACTCCGTGCGCCTCAGGAAGGAGAGCCTCGGGGGCGGAGGGGACGCCGCAGCCCAGCTGCCTGCCTTCTGCTCCCTCCGAAGAGGCGCCGAGACGAAGCCATTTTCTGCAAGGGGCCCAGCAGGCGGCTGCTAAAAATGAAGCTGTGTCTTCCGGCATTTGCCCGCCAGCCATTCCAATGACATCCAGCAAGTTCCGATCCCATGCTGGGGACTCAGCCCCCAAAGTTTAAGCCAGATTTCACAGGCAGCCTTTCAGGACGCTGAGCTTGTTGAGTCCTGGTCCTGTGCCAAGAGATCGCTGCAGATCCAGATTCTCTGCACAAGCCTAGAGGCACTCTCTTATTTGTCCTGCCACACAGCTGCCAGGGCCATGATGGCCCGGCCCCCTGCCCCGGCACCGGTGCCCTGCAGCTGCAGATCCAGCTGCTTCCCGAAGCTCATTGGGGGACTCGCAGGGGCCCCCGGCCCCTTCCCCTGTGTGGCGGCACTCTCTCCCTCCCGCAGACGAGCCGCAGCCCTGATGCAGCGGCAGGAAGCACCCAGCTGGAGCGGCTTGTGCACCCGATCGCCGACCGGACCCAGGGCAGAGGGCCACGGAGGAGGCCGGCTTGCTCCCGAACGCGCCAGCCCTGCCCCCTGCACTCCCCCCCCGCCCCGCAATAAAGGCAGCAGCTTCTCTCAGTGCTGCTTTGTGGCCCGTCTCCTTCTGGATCTGCACTGGCCGGAGGCGGCTGAGGCAAGGCTTCTCCTGCACGCCCGGGAACCGCCCGGAGGAGTCGCGGGCAGAGGCCAGCTCGGGCCACGCCAGGGCTTCTGCTGGGTGGTGCCACGCCGGGCTCACTGGCCTGAAACGTGACTCTCCCCCAAACCGCCCCCCTCGCTCCTTCCTGCCACTGCCGCACTTCCCGGATTTCCTCCGACCTGTTCCAGTTTGCACCCTGCAGGCATCTCTCGGTGTGCTGAGCCTGCGGCGCTGCCCTGGGGCCGAGTGGAGTGGCCCCTGGGGATGAGGGGGGGGGCTCCTGCTGGGCCCCAGCAGTTAGTGCCCATCAACCATTGCTGAGCTAGGGCGGCCCCGTGCCTCCGCGCCCCCCAAAACAACCTGTCCTGGGTGGGACTCGGACCAATTCCGTCTTATGTACAGCAAGGTGCAGTTTTGTTGGCACCGTCCACTCCAGGGCGGGGGGGGGATTCCTTCCAAGGACGTTCACAATGGCCCTCACTTCACAGCCATTTTAGAAACAGAGCATAGAAACTGAGCAAGTCCAAAGGGGCCTGCCGGGCCATCTAGTCTGACCCCGGTGCCAGCCGGCCCCACTCACGACACGCCTGCTGTTATCTGCCCTCTCAGTCTTCCGGGCAGCATCCCAGGGGGCACCAGAGGAGCAGGGCGGCTCCTCGCTGGGCAGCTGTGACCCGGAGCCAAGCTCGGCTCGCCACGGCTGCCGAGGCCCCTCGGCTGGTGCTCCGGAGCCCTGCAGAGGAGGGGAGGCGCCTGCTCCAGGGTGCCCACTCCGTGCTCAGGACAAAGCGGGAGAGCGGGTTCTCGGCTGCTCCCACTTGCGCAGGAGCAGTGGCCAGGGGGTCGACCGAGCCACGGTGCCCTCCTCCCAGGGCCACCCACCCACTCCTGCCCCAGGGAAGGCGCCGAGGGCAGGGGGTGGGGAGCAGGAGGGCTCTGGGACCGTGCCAAACACAGCCGCCCGTGTCTCTCTGCTTGGCCACTCCGCGACGGCGGTTCTGATCTCAGTAAGACGATGAGTTGTTTCCCCGCTGGAGAGAACAGCAAGCCGTGGCGGCACTGGGAAAGAGCCTTGCTCCTCAGTACCAAGCACACCGCACGGAAATACCCCCGAGGGGTTTGGGCAACGGGGCAAACCAAAAGGCATGAAAGAACACTATGGCCTGCCATGACATGCAGGCACGCCCAGCACGTCCCGCCGCGGATCTTCCGGCATTCCTCCTATCAGCCTGAGTTTTCCTTCCGTTTCTCGGAGGCAGTCTTCTGGACGTTGCTGTTCTGATAGGACTCTCTTGTTTTCGCCTGCCATTGTCCTCTCCCATTTCCTTGCTCCGGCGTGACGGGGCAGGACGCCACGCGGGCTTTTGCTTGGTTCCGAATGAGCACCGCCCGCCTCTTCATCTGCCCCTCGGCTCGGACTAGAAATGGAGAAGAGCTTGGATTTGAAAGGGCCGTTTCCCAGTCAAATGCCGCCTGCAGGCCCCCCCCCCCCGCCTTTGAGCACGTGTGAAACACACGACCAGGGTTTCAACAGAGTGGAAGCCGCACTTTATTCACTAGCATGAGCTCCAGGAGCAGCAGGTGAGATGGGCGTGAATCCTGCAGCAGCCTCCCCGACTGACAGAGGGGCGCCGGCTGGGGACGCGTGAGGAACCTCAGGCTGGGAGCACTTCAGCCCCCCTGGCCTTGGCACCCCGGGCTCTTGCCTGCTCTGCAGTGGCCCCGGGTCCAAATTCCCGTGAGCTGGCCCAGCTTTTGCGAGATACTCCCCAAGAATTACGCCCTGGGCACTGTGCAAGCGGTGCCCCCCTCCCCACGCACACACACACACACACCACCCTGTGAACACTGCACCTGATTGCACAACCTTTGCTTGCAGACTTCCTCTTGTTCTCATCGTCACAAGATCGGGCTGAGAGCAACAGAAAGTCCACAAAAGCCGGCGGGACGGGTGCTCATCCCAACCCAAGTTCCGGTATAAATCTATCGCAGGAAGAATGGGGAAATGTTAGCAGGACGACGACAGAAACCAGGAACTGGCCGGTTAGCAGTGGAAGGCCGGCACAAGAACACGGAAATCTGCAACATTCATTTGCTTGCTGCTTCTGTGCACCGTTCACAGCTATCAAAGCTCTCAGAACAGTTTACAGTGAGACTGTATGAGGCTTTAGGATTCCTGCGGCTCCGCAGCGAATAACGGGGGGCTGGAGCTCCCCTGTGGGGAGCCGCCAGGACACCTGGGACCGTTCAGCTCAGAAGAGGGCGGGCTGGGGAGGCACGAGGGGGTTTAAAATAATGCCTGGTGTGGAGGAAGGGGAGGGGGCCATCCTCCTCCTCCTCCCCTAACGCTCGAACCCAGAGGGGTCCTCCTGGGAAGCTGATTGTGGGAGGTTTAGGGAGAGAAAAGGAGGCCGTCCAGCACGCAACCCATAGTTGGAGCGTGGAACTCGCTACCCCAGGAAGTGGGGCTGGCCGCCAACCCGGACGGCTTCCGGAGGGGATTGGGCGGCTTCATGGGGAGGAGGTTCTCGGGGGCTACTAGCCCTGCTGGCCGTCTGCCATCTTCTTCGGCAGAGGCGGCCTGCCTGCGTGCACCAGGGGCGGGAGGGGGTCTTGCACGCACCCTGCTGCAGGGATCCCGGGGGCGGCTGGTGGACCTCTGGGTATGGCGCACTGGACCGGTTGGACCCCCAGCCTGGCCCAGCAGGGCCTCTCTCCTGTTCTGAGGCTCCTTCAAGTCAGGGCTGGGATCTGTCTGCCCCTCCCCGGGCCAGCCGCGTGCTCTGAAGGGCTGCCGTGGCGCCTGCCCCAGAGATGGCCGCGTTGCCCTCAAGACCCCACAGCAAGGAGACCCGTGCCGGCCCCCCGCCCAGCTGCTCCTGCTGCTCCCTGGCTTCATGCTGGCCCCACACCGGGGCCCTTCTTGGTCAGGCTGAGCAAGTGCTGGCGGAGGCCCCAGCGGGAGAGTCCCCGGATCCCTCCCACGCCTGCTCAGGAGCCGACCCTGAGGGGGCCCGTATTCCCGGTGGGAATCTGTAGGACTGCCTCCTGAAATGATGCCACACAGTTTCCAGCACTGTCTGACAGTTTTTCTTTCCTGCTGGACCATTTTGGATGCCCCCCCCCCCAGTTTGTTTCACCACAAACGCAACTCTAGGCCTGTCCAATGCAGGGGGGGGGGCAGTTCCTGCATTCAGCATTTGCTAGACATGCAGAAGGGAACGGGGGGGGGGGGGCGTAGACAGAGCCGCTGAGCTTCAGACAGGGCGCCTGCATCACCCTCGCACAAGCTGGTGGAGGCCCCGTCCGTTCTCGGCTAGGCAAAACTCCCACTTTGGCGGGGTGGGGAAGCTTCCTTCTCCCCAGTAGCTTCCTTGACTGTGTGTGTTAACCATGCGGGGGATTTCTGGGACTTGGTGCTTCCTTTTCTCACTTAACAGTTTGCACGGTAGTGCTTTCACAATAGTGTTTTTATCTCCAAGCGCTTGAAGCAATTTAAACTACTTGGTTTGCTCTTCAGCTGCTTCACCACCCGTTGCCTCATTTTTGCGCAGTCCTGTGTTTTAAAGTCAAGCGTGACCACCTTTGACCCCTCCAGCAGTCTCCCACACAACCGTGTATTGACTCTTGACACCAGCGGGGCACCGTCCCCTAAAGGCTCAGCATTTCCGTCCTGCACCATGTCCTGGGGAACCCACCTCGCCCCAAATCCAGGACTGCCTCCCCTCCAGCTGGTCCCACGACCACCAAGCAACGGCTCTCGGGCAGCCTCGTCTGGGCCATCGTGAGATGCAGCCATCGTCAGAAACGGAATGCGCTTTTATCCACTCCGTGCGCGGGCGGCTGAAGTCCCTCCTTGGTTGGAGGCCTCCTGGATGTCATTTCCCACCTCAAGGCCACCCTGCGCATTCTGGTCCGGGGCGCACGCCCTCACCTTCCGAGGAACGGGTCCTTCTGCGGGGCCATTTCCCTCTTCCTCCTCCCTCAAGGCGCCCCCTTTCTCCGTGACTGTAGAGGAGCTTCTGCCCAGGAGCTGGGATGCTGCCAGTGGTCCCTGGGGTCCCGTCCACCCTGCCCACCCCCCTTTGCACCTCCAGGCCAGCATCCTCGGCTTTACGGGAGCCAATCCGTTCCCAGGGAGCCAGGAGCTCGTGGCTCCGGGTGCACAGCCAGGACTTGTCCAGCTGGCACAGGGGCGTGCGACTGGCACTCGGGGCCACCCACTGGCACTCCACCTGAAGTGGCATCAGCGGTTCGTTCCCTGGCAAAGCCCGAGCGATTCCGGATCTTATCAAGCCCTTCGTTGAGCCTAGTGGAGAGGCGGCCCTTGTGCCCTCCCCCACCGACCAGCAAGGGGCGCAGAGTCCCCGGCCCTGTTGCATCTCCTGTGGGCCGAGATGCTCCGTCAGCTGGGCTCCTTGCACCCAGCGCCAGCTCCGTGAGGAGCAAGCAGCCAGTGCAGCGAGCCGCAGCTGCCCCGGGCTCTCTCGAGGCATCCCCGTCCGCCAGGCCCCGATGCCGGAGCCAAGGGCGCACGCGGCTTCCCGCTCTGCCAGGCCAGCCCAGCCCAGCCCAGCCCAGGCAGGCCCTGCGCTCCTCAAGGGAAAGCGCCCGAGGTGCCCAGCGCCCTCTGCACATGCACCTGGGCCCTGCAGTGGGGCCACGGAGCACGTCTGCAGCACGCGCGCAGGAGCCGGGCCCGGGCCCAGCGGGAGGGTCTTGGGCATGGCTGGGAGGCCGCCTCCCGCGCCCGGGGATCTCTGGGGGGGGGGCTGCGGGCGGAGGTCATGTGAGAGGTGCTCACAGGCACCTACCCCGGCCCCCCTGCGAGCACCAGGACGCGGCTGCGGCTTTCCCCACAAGGGTGGGTGCCGGAAGCACAGCAGG